TTGCAATCTGCAACGTAAGCATGGTATACTGGAAAGAAATTGTGCAGCTTATTTAATTTGGATGGAGAATGTAATCATAACAGAAACACCAAACATTGTAACCCTAACCCTAATGACAATGATCCTTTAAGCCTAATGTAAAAGCCATCATTAAAACAACAAGGATTTAAATGGAAATGGTTTTAGGAGGGAAATAATTTTGCCAGTTAAGAACGCTGCAGTGTGGCAGCTACTTTGTGAGATGGGCAGACTGGTGGCCCTAGGGGGCACAGACTTAGTGATTGTTATGAAGGGGCTACTGGCTGTGTGACACACAGGGTCTAAGTCCTGATTTCAGCCCGTCTGTCTCACTGCAGGAGTCAGGTTGGCTTTAGGGGCCACACACACACACAAGCTGTGAGAGGAATCATTAATGAATTGACAATGTTGAAAAAAGAAGAAAAACAGAAGACGCTGAAGGGTGGGGGACAGTTAAGACACAAGCTGTCTGTTGTGTGTGTGTGTGTGTTTTTGTGACACAAGTGGCTGGAGGCTGTTGTAAAGTTACGTCTGAGCTCTAAACAGGAGCCTGGGGACGCACTGGGAAACAGGCCCTCTCGTCAAAAGCCATCAGACAGGTAGAGAAAAGACGCCCTGCTGAGGTTTTTACTTACCCTAAAACAAACAGAGGGGAGCCACACAACCTGCTGCACATCCACCCAATTTACCCCGCACCTCTGCGCCCGCTGCAGCAGGAGGAATGTGAGATTTCCTGGCAGAGACAGCGAAGAGGAGGGGCGCTGACTGCTGAGACCCATCAACAATGAGCACCTCCAAAATGTCACATACACGCGTGCACCACAAAGACAATACCGCTGCAATTTGTATAACAGAGCGTCCACCCCGACGCAGACATTTCACCCCGCTCTTTTCAGTTCCAGGAATGTCAGGAATCCTCGCCTAGCCGTTTGATTGTAAAAAAAAAAAACAAGGAGGGCTCCCTTTCTAAAGGAACAGAGGGGAATCTTGGGAGTTGGGAGTGATGGTCAGGGTCCTTTCTCTTTGATGCTTTTTTCCCCCTCTGTGTTTAGCCATGAGCGAAGACAGTGTGAAAAGTTCGGGTGCTGCTCCAATGGCGCCACTTGTGTGGGATCCCCCTCTATATGGCTGATCATAAGACCTCTTTGTGCCGCCGAGATGGAAAAAAGAATTAATTGCAATGGAGTGAAAAGTGTTTTTAAATTAAATTAAAATCAAAGCCACCAGAGCTCAATGGGAGCACAGGCTTTATGACACCCCGTTCTTTCTAAGTGTTACCATACACGTTTTACAACCTGCAGTTAGCCTATTGGTGCCAACCCATAAAAATGAAGGTAGAAGTGTAGAGTAATCATGGAATTTTTTGGGAATTTTTCTGTACAATTGTGATCTAAACTGCTATTCATTGTCTACGTAGTAATAAACAACAGTTTGTACCATACATTATCAAACCTATTTCTACAAGAAAAGAGCTTCAGCTGTTTGAATGAAAGTAAATCTGATAAAAGTTGCTTTTATAGTCAATGAAGGTGATGTTTGTTCAGCATCAACCATGATTAAATAAGACTGTATGATTAAAAATGGGCGTCACCTGTGACAGCACCCACCTGTCACTCAAAGTGGCCATGCCCTTAATAACTTTAAGCCTATAATTTAAACGGGTGAGTTGTATTTAAATCCCCCCCACCCCCCATGGTGGTCATGAATGGGGAAATTGGCTATAGAGACCAAAATTCTTGTACCAGGCTGTAAATGTGCTCTGCTGTAAATATGGGCATTTTTAATATGGGGCCTCATGGAAATTGACTGACTGCTGGAGCCAGCCTCAAGTGGCCGTTAGAGGAAGTGCAGTTTGTGGTACTTCTGCGTTGGCTTCATTTGCAGCTACAGAGGTTGCTGCTTGGTGCTAACTGGCTACTACGTTTGTCTGACTGCTTTAGGTACTAGTTTGTTCTTTTTTATACCCTTTCTGTCCAGTGGAAACCACGTATCTCCAGATGTGTTAGGGATCACCAGGATTTAGTGGCGGTGGTGTTGCAGATCGCAACTCCCTCACTTACCCCTCCACCTCCAAGTGCAGGGGAGAAACTACAGTGGCCACAAAAATGTGTGAAAAAGTGAAAAATGAATCTAGAGCCAGTGGTCGATTCTGGACAGTGTCTGTAGACATAAAATACTAATTCTAAGGTAACAAACACAATGATTTCTATACTCAAGTGATTCTACACTAATAAAAACATACCTATGAATATTATATTCCATTTCTGAAAAAAGATCCACTGAATGCACTGCTTGAATGAGGAGCCGTAATGAAAACATTTAAACAGCATGGCTAAAATAATTGATTTGATTAAAAGTATGACAAACACAGTGAAGACTTCTGTCTGTCCTTCAGCCTGTAAAGATTTCTTTTAGTGCCGCCACTATTTTGCAGAGGCAGGAAGCTGCCTGCGGTCTCCTTTCTGTGATCTGCCGGTGGAGGCAGCTGTTTTGCTGGTGGTTGTTTGGTGATGCAGGTGGAACAGTGTCTTGTTTATGATGTTTTGGCTCAGATGGATGTTGAATCAAAGGGACATGCAGTTGTGCTAATGCACAGGGTGTGAGACTGATGCTGGTGGGTGCTGCTGGATGGTGTGTAGGGTTGTGTTTTGGTGTGTTGGTGGTGTGTCATGGGAGGAGGAGTCGGCAGTGTCTGAAAGTATTACTGGAACTGTGGGTGAGCCAGTGTGTTTACTAGTGCATGCAAGTTTCTATTTCTCACAACTAAGGCTTTAACATGTGAGGTGTTCATTTCAAATGGAAGGATATTAGCATATTAGTATTACATTTATAACAAATTCTTGACAACAACTTCCAGTTTGAAAAAACATTATTTACACTAATCATTTATTTGTTCTACTAACATCAATTGTTATTATCACCATGTTATTCATGACTTTGTATCATTTCTGTCTTTACTTTTCTGTAAACATTAAAAAATAAAAAAAACAGTGGCTATAAAATTAAGCCAATGTAGAAGTGCCAAAAACTGCAGTTCCTCTAACAGCCACTAGAGGCTGGCTCCGGCAGTGAGTCAATCTCCATGAGGCCCCATATTAAAATGCCCAGCTTTACAGCAGAAATGTACAGCCTGGTAAATGGACCTGTACTTGTATAGCGCCTTTCTAGTCTTACGACCACTCAAAGCGCTTTTACACTACGTGCCACATTCACCTTCACACAATTCACTCAGTGGATGGCAAAGCCATCGAACAGAAACTATAACTCATTTCATACACATTCACACACCGATTGCTGTGCCATCCGGAGCATTTGGGGTTCAGTATCTTGCTCAAGGATACTTTCGGACACTATGGCAGAGGAGCCGGGGATCGAAACCAAACAACCTTCTGATTGGGGACGACCGCTCTGCCTCTGAGCCACAGCCGCCCACATGACATGACATCGGTTACATAAGTCTGTTTTGGTCTCTATAGCTAATTTTCCGCATTCATGAAAAACTATACAGAGATTTATATATACTCACCTGTTGAACATTAAAGGCTTAAAAGTTATGCATAATTAAGGGCGTGGTAACTTTGAGTGACAAGTGGGTGCCGTCACAGATGGCTGTTTTCAGTAACCAGGATTCATTCAGCCTGCCTCAGCTCCATCCATGATCCACCTCTTTGCCCATTTTTGCATTAACCAGGAGACGGTGGAGTCAGGACTGCCAAGATGCAGCAGCCAGAGCCGACAGCACTGAGCTTCACTATGGCTCTTCAGAAACCTATGGGGGATATCACAGAGACTACGTCAATGTTTTATACAGCCTATGATGGCTACATATTTACTCTGTCCAGGTGTCCAGATACTTTTGGCCATCTAGCGTATATGCCATTAAGTGCTAAAAATGGATTTAAATAAACATAATCCTCTGAAAACACCCTTTTCAGACGTTGTAGTGAATATCGAAGATGATTAATCTGGACATATCCAAAGTTTCGAGATAGCAAATAGAGTGTAGGATGTAAACTTATTAAAAATCAGTTGGACAGAGGTGACAGAGGGTCAACTGATTCTGCTCTGATGTGAAGCATTTATAGTGCTTCTATGTGTGAGTGTGTATTAAAGCGATAAGCTTCAATGTAACAGTAC